CAGCCATGAAACGCACCCAATACAGCATAATGGACAACTAATAGCAGCCTCCTGACAAAATAGACGTTATTTATGATCGGGAACAACAAACTTAACTGCAAGGAGGATTTTCTGAAGCAAAGAATTATAAATACAGCATTGTAAACAGGAATAGTTCTGTCATGATCACTCGAACTTATGTCATTCAAAAAAGTAGATGGAAAAAAAAAACAAAAAAAATTGTCCATATGACACGTTACTATTCCAAGACTTTTGAAGAAACAATCAATGACTTATGAATAAATGATGACAGAATTTCATTTTATTGTGCAAATTATCCTTAAAAACCTTCAAAATAAAGGTTCTGAAGGGGGATTTTCGCTGCAATGCCATAGAAGAGCCATTTCTGGATGCCCAAAGAACTTAAGTGAACAGTTCTTAAAGTCCCCCTGTGGTAGAAATCAAGTTTTTAATGTTGTTTGTATGTCTATGTGGTGTTTTTAATATGCGCAAATTGATCAGTCAACACCATTGCTGAGTATTTTCTCCTTAAAACTGCAGTGAAAGACAACGCATTCTCATCCTTGACCATGCATCTAAATCCGACGCACATGGCAACCTTTAGCTTCAGTTAGATGACCTGGGTAGGTTTAGGTATGGGGTAGGGTTAGACCACTAGGAGGCGCGTCTCATACTGACGCTAAAGGGTGCCCATGTGCGTCGGATGTTGACGCATGGTCAAAAGCGTCAGTTAGATGACGACTTGGGATGAAAACGGGCTGTGAAAGACCAGAGACAGTCTCAAAAATGCATTTTGAAATCTCTTTGTGTTTCTGACGTCATAAACTACCTTTTAACCAATCAGGTCAATGTGCCGGCGAGCTTTAGCAGGCTCTGAAGCAGGGTCTCAAGAAGCCACGTTATCCCGATATGTATGTTTCTGTTGATATGAAAAATCAGGAACATTTAACAATATAGTGGGTGAATTATGTACATGATGTATATTATGTTGTTATGATGAACTATTTCAAAGCATTTGTAAGGATGCTGATTTTTAGGAGGCAGACTGAGATGCGAACAGAAACATGGTAACATTAGCAACACGTTAGTAGTCGTTTGATAACATAGTCAAGCAAATGGCTTATCATATTAATGTCCGTTATGTGCCCGAACTTGTAAAGAGTGATACCATTGGGCAGCGTTTACTACAGTAAGCTGGCCGAGTAAATCTGTGAGCAGGCGTGAGTGGAGGCGGGCCTAATTTGCATATTATTATCAACAACGGTAACTCTTTACATGACATGACACCTTCATACTCATGACATGACATGTCTTGAATATGAAGGATGTTTTATGCATGTTTATGACAACTGTCATTAAGAGTCATTCCAACCCGATCTCACGGGAATTCGTACGAATTTTACGAGGTGGCTAATTCGTAACAATTCGTACGACCTCACTCGTACGAATTAGTACGATTTTGTACGATGAATCGTACATATTTTATAAATAAGCCAATTCGTATGAATTCTTACGAATGACCTACCCCTGACCCCGCCCCTAAACATAACCGTCACGTGGGTTTAGACAAATCGTACAAATTCATACGAGTGAGGTCGTATGAATTAGTACGAATTAGCCACTTTTGAATCACTCGTACGAATTGGTCGTGAGATAGGGTAGGTCATTCGCTCAATTTTGACATTTTTAATGCAAATATGACATTGTTTGAGATGTCTTTGTCATGACAACTTGACATAAACCAATACATCATAACCTGTCAGTGTATTTGTCATGACAACTTGACATTACTAATACAACACAATCTGTCATAAATATGTCATATGACATAGCAGATTCATTATCAAACCAGTCAGGTGGTTGGTTTTGACTTTGGCTGTAATGAGACCATTATAACATTTAAATGAAAAAATCAATTAGTACCACTGTAGTTGAGGTTAAGAAAAATGTTCATGACACAGTTATAATGGCCAAACCACATGACAAAGCCAACCACATGACAGTTTAACTTAATGTTAATCCATAAAGCTGGTTTCTTAAGTTTGATAATGAATCTGCTATGTCATGTTTATGACATGTTTATGACAATTTATGTTGACTTGGTAATGTCAAATTGTCATTATGTATGGTTTATGTATTGGTTTATGTCAAGTTGTCATAACAAAAACATCTCAAACAATGTCATATTGAGCAAATGACACTTAATAACAGTTGTCATGATTATGAAAGTGTCATGTCAGTCTTATGCACACCCCTTCAAGTAAAGTGTTACCAAATAAATTTTTTTTTTCTTAGTGTGAAGAACATTTTTTAATAATCTATAGAACCATTTTCCATAATAAAGAACCGTTTGTGCATTGAAAAAGTTCAGTGGATCTTCAGTGATCTTCCTCTGTTTTCTCTGCACCCACCAGCCCCAAAAAGCTGGACAATGATGACCAGTACTACCAGGGTTTGAGCAGCAGTAAATCCACAAGCCTTCCCAGTGTCCGACGGCGCTCCAGCAAACGCAAGGCTTCCACTGAGAGAAGACGCTCTTCTGAGACCCCACTGTCCGATGTCCCGAAATCTGATATCCCTAAAGATCCAAAGGAGAAGAGGTGAGAGAACACAGTCTGTTTAACAAACGCACTCCTCAAGACGTTGACCTCACACTGCTATACGCTGAGCGGCAGACGTGATGAATGTGTTGGAGCAGAAGATGCACATATCCACGCTTCCTTTCCCTTCTGTGAAGTCATGCTTTATCTGCCCCTCTCTGTCCACAGGCACTCGTTCTCTAGAATGCCCTCTACAGATACTCAAAGTGAGGACAACCCCTATGACTATAGAAAGATACTGAGGAAGACCTCCCAGAGAAGAAGGCTTATAACACCATAACCCTCAACAACAGGACTAATGTTAATACTGTCAGTGACCACCAATGTGGTCAGCACAGAATGCTGTTTGTCTTTAAAGGAAGAGTTCACCTAAAAATGACAATTCTGGCATCATTTACTCACTGCCATGATTTTCTTTCTTGCAACGCGAAAGGAGACATTTTGAATAACGTAACAGCTGCGATTACAATAATCAAGAACTGAAGCTTTCACAAACTAATGATTTATTAATCAAAGAATGATTTGTTTGAGTCAGAGCTGAATCAATTGAAATGATTTGTTTAGAAACCAGACTGATCCGGTTACAGAGGTTAACAGATTATCCCTTTTGAGTGCGCTGTTTCTTTAAGTAAATCAGTTCACTTGGTTAGTTTCTCAAAGAAACGGAAGTTGTGATAGTCTTTTTTCCCCAATTGTGGCGTACGGCTTCTCAGACTAGTAGGACGGGACTTGATTTTGTTTTTTTGGGAGTTGATTGGATGGTTGTGGTTTGCTATTGGTGGATCTGGTGTGAGTGACAGGTTTCCCCGCCCTCATTCCAGTAAACACATGATCAAGAGATATTGCTGCAAGAGGGGGAGGGGAAGTTATTTTAATTATGAGGGTGCATGAATTATTTTTTTTATACTTTTTTTTTTTCTTTGGTACTTTTTTAAAAATAAGAAATGTGCATCATGGATAATAAATTTTGCAACATAGCTAGTTTAAATAGTTTAAATTGTCTTTTGCCGCCTAACCAGCCCGATCTCATGAAAGTTCGTATCTATGGCACGAATGTCATTTCTCGTGGCATTTATACGCCAAAAGCAGTTTTTGCGTGTATTTGGCACGCGATTTTCGCGTACATATTATACGCACTTTTTTGCGTATAATACACACGAACTCCCCACCCCCCTCCCCCCTAAACCTAACCCAGGGTTTTTTAGTGCGTACCATATACACGAAAAAAACACTTTTGGCGTATAAATGCCACGAGAAATGACACTCGTGGTATAGATACGCATCTTCATGAGACTGTGTGCTGACAGTGTAACAGGACATTAGAGCTGCCCTTGCTTGATTTTTAACTCAGGTTTAGCAGTTGATGTTTGTTGATTCTGTTCAAGTCTCTTTGTGAATAGAGATTCGTCTTCAAAGACATTCATAAAACGACCTTTATATTTCCACCAATATATTTGTCTCTAATGGATCCTGAATGGTTTAGTGAGTCAGACTTGTTGTATAATTTCTGCATAAACATCAGCAGGATGTAAAAATATAGATTGCATTTATACTTTTCCAGATTCATGTACAGTATGCACTTGTATCTTTTGCACACAACGCAAACATCTATGTATTCTCGATATGTCACTTATTTGTAAATATGATTTTATATATATTTAATTAGTCAAATGAAATGATAAAATGCATACAATAGTGTACATAATGTGTACAAGTTTCATTTTCTTATGCCCCTTTTCCGTATATCCTATCTCCAGTATGTTTTCATTTGAAATACATTATTTGTAATACATGGTTTTGGATTTCATGTTTAGTCAATGTTAATGGAAAGCAGATTCCTAATAAATTCCGATTATATTTAATAATTTATCAAATATTTTTTTGTTAGTTGAGTTTGATGTTCATTGACTCACCATGACCATTGCTCGTTGAATTGTCATTGAATATTTCCCCCGATGTAACTCTCTTGACCAGCTTTACTAGGCTATGTATTTTTTCTCGATTAAACAAGGTCTACACACCAACACCAACCTGGTCAAGCTGTTATTTTCTACATCTTATGACTGTAGTTTATTTCTGATCGTCTTATTATATACATGAAGAAAAAAATAGCGCGTGCCATTACGCACGATCACAGCAAACAACACACTCTGACATTGATGATAATAAATAAATTCAGAGTAGACCTAATGTTTTGACTAATTCTAGGTTATCCCGTTCATGTTTGAAATTGGATCTTCAATTTTCATATGGGGGGCAGGGATATGGACCACAGATCTGAATGTCATGGTCCATAGCAGCCCGTCTGCTCCTCCTTCCTCTGATGAGGTCTGTTCAATATTAGAGTAAAGCAATTACAGAATCTAAAAAAAAACCGGTTGTGCCTTCAGCACAGATGCGGGTGGTGCGCCAGGGGGTTCATAAACTAGTGTGTGTGTGTGTGTGTGTGGTCACGATTAACGACGCAAAATAGTGTCGTCATGAGCCGAATCGCGTCGGAATTTCTCTGGTGACGTGAGGCGGATTATCTTTACGCAACAATAAGCTTTTATTACCACTAAAGTTGCAAGTTTGCATGTTGGAGAGCCCGCGCTACGGATTGCTACGAGTGCGTTTTTTGTAAATGTACTGTGCATCCTCAACTTGCATTTGCAGCTGAGCCACGTGAAAGAGAATGAGAGTCAGTGGATGCATGTGTCTCCATCAGTGCCAGTGTTTCTCCGTGAGTTCAGTGACGGCTGCTCCAAATCATTGCGCACGGCGCACCAATTGAATAAAGACACTCTGTCTCGGCTGTTCTCCATCAGAGGGGTTTGAACATCTTTTTATGAGCGCCTTAGAAAGTAAGGTAATTTGACGCGTTTGTACAGGTGTGATTGTGAATACGCAGCTGTATTTTCTGCGCATTGGGCAGGATTGAGCTCCCGTTCCCCCGTGACGCGCGTCTGGATGGCAGCTGCTCGCGTCTCTCTGGTTCTGCTCTGATCCGCTCTGTTCGCGATGGCATCACACGGGTTTTGGTTTATGGGTGCTGAAAACCCGGCTGGAGATGGCAGTCAAAGTCCGAACACTCGTAAGTGGCGTGGCGTCAAAAGGAATCCTGAAATTGTGTTTTTTTTTTTATTTATTTATTTATTAGTGGCTATGAGACAAAGAAATGCGACATTTATTGTGTCTTGAATGCTCAAGGTTATTTTAAACCTTGAAATGTCATGTCAGGTGTGTCGTGTGATAAACAACCGAATTTAGTTCGGTATTTTAAGGCAAATTCCATGCCATGGATAGGCTAATTGATGGTCTTAATGGAAGTTTTGTGACGGATCTGGTGTTTAAATCACGCACTTGATCGTTTCAGCCAGAGCATGGTGTCAGGCGGCGGCCCAGAAATTCTCCGGAGGGATCGGCTCCAAATTATGTGGTACGTTTATTTTTAACATGAAGTCTAGCCTATTTAACATCTTTATCTGTGCCTGTCCTATATTCATAAAATGTGAAATGTAAATCATTTATAAAAGCATATTTTCGTTTTTGGAGTCTATAGATTCTGAAAACTCCTACACGAATTATAGGTGCCGTTAAAAAAACTAACCCTTTGCTAGCCTACAATTGAGGTTCTGTTTTTTTACTCAGTTAATAGAGTAACGGTTTCTCCTGTAGCTCTATTAAATGTCGGAGAGGCTGAGAAAGCAGCTCAAGCCTCAGTTAAAGCCGAAGATGAGTCTACAGCAGAGAGCTGCGCCTGTAATAAACCCTGTAACTGCTCCAAAGCCACCGTGGGTTTCTCTGATCTCTATTCAACAGGTAAATCACCTCATATTACATCTCTATCACGGTACAGATCACACCCGAATAAAGGGACACATCGTCTAGAAATCATGGTTATATTGGTTATTCGATTTCTTTATGGTGTCAGTTTTGTTTGTGGTATGTTCATCGAGGCGGCGTTTTTCGTTAAAATACTGTTATTATTAGGCCTATATATATTTTTTTTTAATAGGCTATAATAGGCTATTTATTGATTTTGGACGTCGTCTGTTTCAAAGGCTACTTATTTTAATATGCCATTTTTAAATTTCATTATTGTGAATTAATACAATTATATAGCCTATATATAAAAAAATAAAAATAAAGAATAGGCTAAGTTAAATAAAATCGTGCCTGTGCATTGTTGTGTAAATTATTGAATAAAAAGGCTAGTATCATGCTGATTGTCCTTTTTTTATTCAAGGTTAAATTATGCGATTTCACTTTTGCTCTTTGCACTAAACACCATCATCTGTTATTGTAATGCAGTCATTCTGTATTATTATTATTTACAGATCTTTTACCTGCATTGGACGGGGACGCGAAGACTCTGAATTTTCTGCAGGAGGTTGTTGATATATTGCTGGCTTATATAGTGGAATCTTTTGACAGATCAACGAAAGTGATTGATTTTCACTATCCAAATGAATTGCTCCAAAGGAATAATTGGGAGCTTTCGGACGAACCCGAGACTTTGGATGATATTCTGATCAGCTGTCGCGCTACGCTAAAATACGCCATCAAAACTGGTGAGTGTTTTAATTAGAAAACAATGGGATTCATATAGATAGGCTACTAAAATATATATACATATATTTTTATATATCCTATATTTTTAATATACATTAGCCTATACATTATAACAATTGTTTTATTGATTGCCTCGCTTGTAAAACAGATTATTTCAGACCGCAGTGTGTGCCTGAAGGCGAATCGAATCAGATCGGAACATGACGTGATATTAAATGAATGCGTCAAGGGACGATTTTATTTTATCTGGTGGCATTTTAATTAAGAGAAATTATTTTGACAAGAGGTTTTCGCTTTGGGAATTATAGCCTATGAGTGATCAGAAAGATTGATTGATAATTTATGGCTGTCTGCGCTGGTCTGAGATTCATTTGCGCTTTTAGCTACATTAACAGCATGTGATTATAAATAAATAGTGGACTATTAATTGGGCATAAATATGTTAAGTCATTAAATTTATTAATTTTGTATTTTCTGTTGTGTCAATCTTCAGCACATCCCAGGTATTTCAATCAGCTCTCCACTGGGTTAGACATGGTTGGCTTGGCTGCAGATTGGCTCACATCCACTGCCAACACCAATATGTGAGTGTGTGTGTGTATCTCTTTCTATTAAAATACAAAGCAGGTTGAGATCATTTCCGTTTTCTCTGCCTTCATAAGCATTATTTTGACCTGGTCTTTGTGGCGGCGGCCTTAACCTGATAGATATCAGTTGAAAGGAATAAAATGAAAAGCACAGATGAAATCAGAGCAGCAAATATAACATCCCCTCTCTCATCTTGTGCTCAGATTCATTCTAAAAGAGAAAATAATATGGAATTTCATTTTCAGGGTGATAAAAAGGTATTTTATGTTGGTAGTCAAAGTTTAAATTTAACAGATGCAATGTAATAACGATGTAATAACAATGTAACAGTTTCTGAGAGGGTATAACAGGTTTTTCAGTTTGTTTAATTGGCTATTTTAGAAATCAAATGTATTATTGTAGAAAATATGTTTAAAGAAATCTAAATATTATATAAATTCATGTCTTGTTAGAATTTTATTTCCATCATCGTTTTAAGCTGGCAATGACACACGGCTGTAAAACCTGCAGACTCTTGCACAATTGGCCTCAAACATCAGTTGCGAAACAGGTTGTCGTGACATTTTTTTCTGGCTTGTGTAACTGGGTCATGTGATCTCTGTGCAAACAGGTTCACCTATGAGGTGGCTCCAGTCTTCGTGCTGTTGGAGTACGTCACGCTGAAGAAGATGAGGGAGATCATTGGCTGGCAGGATGGTCGCGGTGATGGCATATTCTCTCCGGGTAAGAAACTGTCAATCTGAGTGACCTGCCTTATTCTGCGCTGAGTGCTTCTGCTGCCACGGGAACACAAGCGCAGCGCAGGAATTGGCTAACAGTCTGAAGTTTTTGGGACATGAGGGCTCTATTACTCTTTGAGGATCTTGAAAAGAAGAATCTCAGTTATTTGTGCTGTTGGGTTGTAAAAGTGTTATCTAACAATGAACGTGACTCTAACCACACAAATTAAAGAACAAAAATGTGAAACTGATGCAAATGATTGTAATTTCTGCACTGCTTTTCTTTGCCCCACTATGGAAAAAAACAAGCCTTTTAATTGACTCAGATTTTAGGCACTGATAAACAGATCACAATTGGGATGTGGAGAATTAGAGCAGAGAAGGCTTGAGTAAAAACTGACAGGAGTCAAGCTTTGCCTGAGTGATGGAATGGAAGGATTGCTTTATCGTTCTCTAGGTGGCGCCATTTCCAACATGTATGCCATGCTACTGGCTCGCTATAAAATGTTCCCTGAGGTGAAGGAGAAAGGAATGTCATCCGTACCCAGACTGGTGGCCTTCACATCTGAACATGTACGTCCATTTTTATTTGCCTCTCGTGTATTTTTAATAATTAACAACAACCTGTAGTAAAGATGTTTCTCCTAAAAAGCAACAAGTCTACTTACTGTATTTTTTATTTCTTGACTCCTTAACAGCATTCTACTTATTTTCGGGTAGTATTTTAAAGAACACAGAGAAGTTACTCAATTACAAATAAATGTTGTCAGTCACTGCACATGACTCAATCCTTGCTTGGTGTCCAAATAGTAGCCCTTTTTAAATGCAATATGGCCATTATTAAATGACCAGTTATTTGTGAATACAGACCCCAATTCGTTTTTCACATTACAGTTTGATTGACAGGTGATATGACCAATCATAATGCTGAATCCGACATTTTGTCAGACAAACAAACCAGACAGGAGATTTAAATCTAGTTCACCCAAAAAATAAAATTCTGTCATTATTTACTCACCCTCGAGTTATTTCAAACCCCTAAGACTTTCGTTTGTTTTCAGAACACAAATGAAGGTCTTTTTGACCGAATGTGAGACATTTCTGTCCGTCTGTTGACAGCAATGCAACTACCACTTTGATGCTTATAGGCAATATAAAGAGATCGTAAAACTAATCCATATGAAACCTGAAATGATGAACAGATTGAATTTAGGCTTTTATTCACATCAATTTTCATTGATGCACACATCAGTAGCGGACATGTGAGAACCAATGAGGATCATTCTCGTGTTACTCCAAGTTTGAGCTTCCGGGAGATGTTCTTGTGCGTCAAGCAGGTTTGGTTGAGCTTCTGGTTATGTTTTCTGATCAATGTTTATATGTGAATAAAAGCCTAAATTCAATCTGTTCATCTTATGTCAATTTTGCATTAAATATTATTTTGTGAAATATTAAAAAATAAATAAAGATGAAATTAAATTGGGCAAAAATGAATATGTGTTTGTAAAGGATTACTTTTATTATGAATAATTCCAGCAAATGAATACAATAATATTCTGAGTGCAGTTTAATCCGTTAAATTTAATGGAAAAACTGGCAGCTGTGGACGTGGTCACCAGAGTTTTCCTGTTAAAAATACGGTAGCAACATTTTAGGTTTTACAGATTTTTAACCGTATTTAATTTTACAGCAATAAACCGTATTTCATTATCTGATATATTTTTAATTTGCGGACCTTTTGAAGTATTAATATCTGTTTTGTTCAATTGTAATACACTGACAGCCAACAATCACAGGAGAAATAAGAGTCAAATGATCAATCAAAGCTAATCATAATCAGCTCTTCCACAAGGAAGTTCATACTATTATATGGAAGCTGCACAGTGTCATTCACACAAACATTATACACCATCATGATAACATGTTGAAATTTCAAAAATGCAATAAGCATTAATTTAACAACATTAGATGTAACATAAAACCCTAATGTAGGCTACATAACCGATTAGATAAGAAAATTATGATGAAACAGTTAAAATACATTAAATGTGAAGCGTCACGCGGGGAATTGTGGGAATGTCAATTTACATTTTTTCACTGTAAATTATACAAAGACTTGTTCTTTTTCACTTCCAAAAACTGTAAATTTAATAGTATTTTACAGTAAAATTACATTAAATGTACCATTATATATTGTATATCACAGTTATTTACCGTATATAGTAAGGAAACTTTCTGTTAACCAGTTAAGTTTTTCACTGTAGCATTTTTACAGTCTTTTACTGTTAAAACCACAATCATTTTTTTACAGTGTATTATTCTATCATTATGCCTTTCAGAGTCACTTTTCAATCAAGAAAGGAGCAGCCGCACTTGGAATCGGTACAGAAAGTGTCATCTGTATTAAAGCTGATGAAAGGTTAGTCTGGATTGTCACAACTGAAGCATGACTTCATGACTGCACGACTGAGAAATGTGTGTCTTAACATAATAAACCATATGACTTCAGCTTTACTGTTCTCATTTCTGCCAGGGGTAAGATGATTCCTTCCGACCTTGAGAGGAGGATCATTGAAGCCAAGCAGAAGGTAATTTCAATAACCGTATCTCCACGACCGTCTCATGTGTCTCTCTTCTTGAGTCTGTTTGAGTAATCTGTCCCTTGAATAACCCACTGATTTCTTTCTCACAGGGAGACGTGCCGTTCTTCGTCAGCGCCACGGCCGGCACCACGGTTTATGGCGCCTTTGATCCTTTGATCGCTATAGCGGACATCTGCAAGAAGCATGAAGTCTGGATGCATGTGGACGTGAGTAGATCTGATGCCTTGAACTTACATGAACTTCCTGAACGTTTCACCTGTGAAATACAGACAGTGGACTGTGATCCAAGAGTGATCTCAGTGTTGGCAAAGCCTAAGTATCATTCTCTGGATGCAGAACTGAGGACCTTCTTGGTTGCTCTGCATTACTGTATCGTATGACTATTGAGTGTTGATGAGCTCTATAGGTTTTAAGAAAAGGGTATTTAATGTTTATACATAAAGTCAGGGATTTGAAGGAAGCCATGTTGAACTCCTGTACTGTTGGGTAAAGTTTTGTTGTTAGTTTCTAAGCAGTCAAACTTCTGATTTTTAATTAGTGGATACAGCAATTTCCTAGTAACCAACAAATGAGCTAAAACCCCACTCTGACCAGCAAAGGACCACCCAGAATATTCTTAAAATCTCATGATTTGTTTCTATTGACCCAGCTGTGTTTGAAATTTGGCATCGAGTTAATTTGGCATGCATGCAATACATTAAATGTAGCTTTTGAAATTTAGCTTCATCTACCTTCAAGGAATTACCGTCAATCAGTCTGAGTGAGTGTGTCCATGTGTGTATTCATTCTCATGCACCTGATATAAATCCTCAATATTACAATGGAAACACCTCTGGCATTTCAACAGCCACACGGACATATTGTGTAGGCATGCTGGAGCTCAAAGACACAAATAACATTTGGATGTACTTAGTCTTAGTTATCAACTCAAGGCAGCAGTTAGACATGAAGTACAGATGAGACCTGTATCCCACTCCTCTGCAATCTCAAATGATCTGTCAATATAATGTATATGAATATAATCATGAAAGAAAACATAAGATCTGCCGGTAACACTTTAGAATACTGTATCTTACTTACTGCATAACTAATAAGGAATTAATGAGGAACTAATAGGTAATTCTTTATTAACACTTAAGTCACTAGTGTTAACTACTAAGGAAGATGTGTTAACTAATCAGTATGTAATATAATTTTATGATTGTGTTAAGTATCAGTTAGTTAATCAATAGCTAATGAATTATGTCATACCTCCCGAAGAACTACTATTAATTATCTATTAATTAAGGTTCAAGAAAAATAACTATGAAGTAACTACTACACTGTAAAAAATGATTTTTGGTTAAGTAAATACTAGTGAAAAAACTCAATGTAATTTACTTGAAAAAGTTAGTTCAGGCAATAATTTAAAAAACTAAGTAAATTCCATATCAGTACTTATTTCAAGCGAGTATAAATGAAAGTGTAATATCAACTTAATAAAATTAAGTAAAAATTACTCAACTTTTCTGATACTGGGGTTCACATCATGCACTGGACCTTGAATAATTAATGAGGTTCATTTTTCACTGGTTTCCAGCTGTATTTACACTGTTTTATCATTGATTTTTGTTTTCAGTATTAGTAAATTGCCATTTTGTGACATTTCGAGTAATTTTTTTTGCTTAAAACGACACATTCAAACACAAAAACGATCCATCAAATGTTGCATTCACATAAGGCCTAAAGTCTGACATGATGTATATATAAATTACTTAGATGATCTAAGTAAAGAATGACTAAATGACTAATAAAATTCAAGATAATTGTTTTAGTGAAGTGTAATACAAAGGCAAAGGAAATCGGTATTAATCAACCTTTTACAAGCCGAGTTAAAATTACTTATTTTTTGTAAAGTTTACTTAATTCCACATTCCAAGTAAATTTAACTTAAAGATTTCTAATTAAAGCTACTGATAAATATGTTTAGGTTTTTACTTGGCAAATCTTTGTAAATTTACTAGCATTTTCTGAGTGAGATTGTTTAGCAAGGTTTTTTCAAGTAAATCCTATACTCCAAATTTTTTACAGTGTAATTAACAGTCATACACAGTAGTCAGTTTGTCATTCTTCAGCACTAATAAGAAAAATAAGTGCAGACATTTACTTATAGGCTATGATCTGCAAATAAGCAAAAACATCTCATGTATATTACACCTTATTATTATACTTAGTTCTTATACATTTTAAACTTCTTTTGCACCATTCAAGTTCCGGCAATATGGCGGTAGCCACATACACTAAGCCTGGGTTCTCCCAAAGTTTTTTTCTCCATTCTGTCACCTGATGGAGTTTTGGTTCCTTGCCACTGTTGCCTTTTTCACTTCTCTTCGCCTTTGTCGCAAGTAACTGTCGTGTATTTTACAAAGGTTTAGATGATTACGTTAATATATATAGGCTAATATTTTTTTTATTTACAGTAAGTTTGATTTGAGTCAGAAGTATGTGGTAATTCTTTATTAATTACTAATGGGTTCCCTATATTGTCACTTTAGAATACTGTTCCAGCTTCTAAGTAATTCCTGAAGGGCTATCTAATAATTATTTATTAATTACTAATAAGTTCCTTATATTTTTACTTTAGAAGTCTGTTTCAGGTTATAAGTAGCCTAATTCCTAGATAATTAATTTGATAATTATTAATGGGTTCCCTGTATTGTCACTTTAGAATACTGTTCCAGCTTCTAAGTAATTCCTGAAGAACTATTAAAAAGTTATTTATTAATTACTAATAAGTTCCTTATATTTTCACTTTAGAAGACTGTTTCAGATTATAAGTAGCCTAATTCCAAGATAATTATTTGATAATTCTTTATTAATTACTAATGGGTTCCCTATATTTTCACTTTAGAATACTGTTCCAGCTTCTAAGTAATTCCTGCAGAATTATTTGATACTTATTTATTAATTACTAATAAGTTCTCTACAGTGTTGGGAGTAACGCATTACAAAAGTAATACATTACAGTAACATATTACTTTTTGCTGTAACGCAGTAGTGTAAGACATTACTAATCAATTTTCAGTAATATTTTACTCGTTACATGTTCAGTGAGGCTTGTGTTACAGTTGTATTACAGTGTATTGTCTGCTCTTACTTCTTAAAGGCAACAGACTATGTGAAAGTTTTAAAGCAGTCTTTTAGTGCCAGTTCAGAGCGGTCGCGTCTGTAACATTGTTTTTTCCTCATAAATGCGAACACGAAAACTAAAATAAAATGAATATTTTAAGTACTATGGAGACTGGAAAGCCAACCCTTCCTCATCCGATTTGCGCAGTGTAATTAACAGAATTACAAAAAATATATTTTGCCTCCTATTTTTTTGTCACTCATGAATGTGTGTCTTTTCCCTAATATTAAAAATAAAACATAGACTGATATTTGTCTAATGTCTGGAGTTCTTTAAGGAAGTAGTCTATATACGTTTCAATACATGTATTTTCTGAGAATTTCTATTTTCAAGTTTTGACTGCAAATGTCATGTCCATAATGCTGGACTTCCCCAATTTTAAATAATTTATCCTCAACTAGTTTTGTGGTGTCTACGTATTTTATAATGTTAACTTCAAATAATACTAATAGCCTAATTTAAAGATAAGGCAGCATTGGATCTGGACGGTAAGGAGAATAACGCTGGAGTTGGAAGAGGTGTGTCGCGATTCTGTAGGTTTGTGGATCTGAGTCGTGTGGCGAAACGCGATTTCGGTTTCATATATCGTTACAGCCCAAAAGTTAAGTTCTACTTAGTTATTTTGGTAAAAGTAAGTCAAAAGTAATACATGAGTAATGTAACGCATTACAATTCTGGGACAGTAATATTGTAAGGTAATGAATTACTTTTAAATAACAGTAACAAGTAATACCTAATCTATTACAGTTTGGAAGTAACTTGCACAACACTGGTTCTCTATATTTTCAGTTTCCCTCAGTCGTTGCCTCAAATACATGAATTTACTCAGTGGCATTCTATGCTGAGGAAAACAGACACACACGGTACTGTATATAAAATATACAAATAATAGGAGGTTAGTTTTGTATGACTGTTCAGTAGTTACTTAATTAGTAGATAATTAGTAGTAGTTCTTCAGTAGGTATGACAGAGTTCATTTTTTATTGTTTAACTAACTGATAACACAATCATAAAATTATATTACATACTGATTAGTTAACACATCTTCCTTAGTAGTTAACAGTAGTGAAGAAGTAGTTAATGAAGAATTACCTATTAGTTCGTCAATAATTCCTTATTAATTCTGCAGTAAGTAAGATACAGTATTCTAAAGTGTTACCGATCTGCCTTTATAAATGTAATAATAAAGATGAGTGTTATGCTTTCAGTCATTTCTCAAGGTGCTCATTGCAGCCAATTGGATTAAATGGTTGGAGTTTCATCTAGATTAAACCTTCCTTCCTTTTTTTAAAAACGAGAAAGACAAACTTTCTGACTGTTGTCTCTGTGCTCCTACAGGGAGCATGGGGCGGAAGTTTGCTAATGTCCCGGAAACACCGGTGGAAGCTGAATGGAGTCGAGAGGTCAGTACAATCTGCAGTTCTTATCGACCTAGATGTCTAGTTCAGTTATGAACATCTGTTTGTGGGCTGATTGGTTCTCTCAGTGCTGGTGCCAAGCCCTTGTGGTCACACTTCTTCATCTACATAACTCTTTATCATCCCAACTTATCTAGTTAGTGCACATTCTCTGTGCGAGCTGTGAGAATTCTTCCTTTTATCCCTCCTCGTCCCCAGCACCACCTGTCTAAATCTGCTACGAAGGGTTACTCTTACTACTGCATGTTTCTTAAATTCTTGTCTAAGCATGTTTAACAGAACAAGTTTTAGTACTTTCCCAGCATGTAGCACTACCAGCGTGACATATCTACAGTAGTCCACCATGACAACACTTCATTATTTTTTGGATTTGATAATTATTCTATAGACTTTTTACTGCACAACACAGTGCCTTGGGGAGAAATGTGGTCTAAATCAAAATACATTTTTTTTTTGTGGTTATTTATTTAATTCATGTGCTATCTTAATAATTTTGTATACAATTTTAGGGCTAATTCTATGACCTGGAACCCTCATAAAATGATGGCTGTGCCCTTGCAGTGCTCTGCTCTACTGGTTCGAGAGGAGGTGAGGCTCTTCTTTTTCTATCAAAACCAAAACTTAACATATGATCACATGACAAATGTATACCCCAAAAGTATTAAAACATGCACAGTCATACTTAAAAACATGTGAGAATCATTGCAACAAAAATTTGTTTTATTTTTTGTAATTCGTTTCCTTCGTCTTCTTGTTATCTGATCCAGGGACTGATGCAGAGCTGCAATCAGATGCAGGCCTGTTATCTGTTCCAGCAGGACAAGCACTATGATCTGTCCTATGACACAGGGGACAAGGCCCTGCAGTGCGGCCGCCATGTGGACATCTTCAAACTATGGCTAATGTGGAGAGCTAAGGTATTGTACAGCTTTATGTTAAATGTTGCTTGATATTGCGAAACACTTCTTATAACTACAAATTAGGGTGACCACCTGCTAATAAGCCCAAGGGGGGACAAGGGGTATGTTTCTGAGGGACAATGTGGGACACTGCTTGGCGCGGCGGTGCCCCCACTCCACGGGCAGACTCTGATAGTGGTTTACCCATATCTAGAACTGTTACTATTGCCTTACTGTTTGTACATGAATAATTGTTAAAAAAAAGCACATACCTGCTAATTAGCACATACATTAATAATGCCCTATTCCCTAAACATGTGTAATTGCTGATATATGCTCATGAATAGGCCAACCAATATTTTAAACATTCAATGAATTGATAGATGCACTTCCACTTACGAGTTACTTTAGCTATTTAATTTTATTTATTTTTCATTACAATTAATTCACTTTAAATAAATAAAAAAATAAAATTATAGGATTAACAGGAATTATAGTTGCTCAACACCACAGGAACAGTTTTTAAAAAAAGTCTAAAAAAAGTCTAAACTCACAGCTCCAGAGGTTCACGGAACGACAAGGTGCGCTGTCATAACAACAATGAAAAAGTTGACATCAACCTAGTCAGCAGGTCACGTGGGAGTGGCAACCAGTCTTGGGGAAGTTCTCACTTTCTGAACTAGTTCAAAGTTCAGTTCACACATTTTAAAATGAACTAGTTCAGTTCAAAGTTTGCACAGAAATGTAAGATTTCTCCCATCTTCACCGACCTCGTTATAAAATCCGTTTAAATTATCATATGACGCCTTTGTCGACGGAGGCCGCGGTGCGACACTGGTGGCTTGTGTTGCCAGATTGGGTGTTTTTTTTCACTACATATTAAGCCCTGTTTACGTTGAGGTTTAGCCGGGCTTTCGCCTGGAAGGCTCTATAGAAATCTGGCACCCCTTTGAACGAAGTTAAACTGAGAGAGCGTGCGTTCACAGACACCAGAATGAACGAGTTCACACGTTAATCAGGACAGCCAGTAAAACAATACGTTCAGTTCACCCAAAATATGAACGAGTTCATGAACGTGAACGAGTTCAGGCACAACGTTTGGCTGCTCGGGTCTCGAGGATATAGACTGACCGACCTTTTTTTTTTTTTTGAGCAAGCATTGATTATGCGTGACACGGTCTCAATTTGCGGGACGCATGAATTGGGCTTCAAACGCTGTGCGCGCACGCGCTACGCGGGACGGGTGGTCACCCTACTACAAATAGAGGGTATGCATTGACGTCGCTTTCCCGCCGGGACATGTCCCCTCAGCCGGACTGAGTGGCAGAAGAGCTGCTGCGTGACTGGATTTAATAGGGGAAACTGCGAAAACGCTTTAAACTAAAGATTGGATTCTATATAGTGTTCCTGTCTACTTACAAAAGATCCAGTGATCTAGATTACCACTAAATTCATCTGGATTCATGTTGAAAACTAATGCTGCCGCTCAGTCTTTTTGCCACCCACTGGGCGTAACCACAGTCACTCCGGCCAATGGTGACATCACCCACACACCCTCTATAACAACATGAGTTATAGTTTAGATAAATGTCTGTCTGTCTGTCTGTCTGTCCTATCCTATAGGCCAACCTATCCTCTCCTAATCCTATTCTAGGCTAACCTATTTTATCCTCTCCTAATCCTATCCTATCCTATCCTATTCTTTTCTATCCTATTCTTTCCTTTCCTTTCCTTTCCTTTCCTTTCCTTTCCTTTCCTTTCCTTTCCTTTCCTTTCCTTTCCTTTCCTTTCCTTTCCTGTCCTATCCTATCCTATCCTATCCTATAGGCTAACCTCTCCTATCCTTTCAAGTCACGTCATGTCCTGTCCTGTCCTATCCTATCATATCCTAGGCTAACCTCTCCTATCCTTTCATGTCGCGTTGTGTCCTATCCTCTCCTAATCCTATTCTAGGCTAACCTATCTTATCCTCTCCTAGTCCTATCCTATCCTTTTCTTTCCTATCCTATTCTTTCCTATCCTATCCTATCCCATCCCATCCCATCCTATCCTATCCTATCCTATCCTGTCCTGTCCTCTCCTGTTAACACAGTCTCATCCCAAATCGTCATATAACTGACGTTTTGGGACGTATTTTGACCATACGTCAATATCCGCCTTTTTAGGGCCCCCTTAAACGTCGGTAGATGGCGATCCCGGGCCGTCATACAAGTGACGCTTTACCTTTAACGTCAGTTAGGTGACGGGTTAGGTTTAGGGTTAAGTTTAGGTATGGGGTAGAGTTAGGATCCCATAACCTCATCTACCGACGTTTAAGGGGGCCCTAAAAAGGCGAATATTGACGTATGGTCAAAAGACGTCCCAAAACGTCAGTTATATGACGATTTGGGATGAGACCGGGTTGCTCCTGTCCTGTTCCATGCTGTCCTATCCTATCCTATCCTATAGGCTAACCTCTCCTATCCTTTCAGGTCACATTGTGTCCTGTCCTGTCCTATCCTATCATATCCTAGGCTAACCTCTCCTATCCTTTCATGTCGCGTTGTGTCCCATCCTCTCCTAATCCTATCCTATCCTATCCTATCCTATCCTATCCTATCCTATTCTTTCCTATCCTATCCTATCCTATCCTATGCTATCCTATCCTATCCTATCCTATCCTATTCTTTCCTATCCTATTCTATCCTATCCTATAGGCTAACATCTCCTATCCTTTCAGCTCCTATCCTTTCAGATCAATTGTGTCCTGTCTTGTCCTATCCTATCATATCCTAGGCTAACTTCTCCTATCCTTTCATGTCGCGTTGTGTCCCATCCTCTCCTAATCCTATCCTATCCTATTCTTTCCTATCCTATCCTATCCTATCCTATCCTATCCTATCCTATGCTATCCCATCCTATCCTATCCTATCCTATCCAATCCTATGCTTTCCTTTCCTTTCATTTCCTTTCCTGTCCTCTCCTGTCCTGTTCTGTCCCATCCTGTCCTATCCTGTCCTATCGGCAAACCTCTTCTATCCTTTCATGTCATGTCCTGTCCTGTCCTGTCCTGTCCTATCCTATACTACCCTATCCTGGGCTAACCTCTCCTATCCTTTCATGTCGCGCTGTCCTGTCCTATCCTATCATATCCTAGGTTATCCTGTCCTACCCTATCCTATAGGCTACCCTATTCTCTCCTAATCGTATCCTGCCTGGTCCTATACTATCCTATCATAGGCTAGCCTAACTTCGAACTATTTTAAGACAAGAATTTAAGTTGACGCTAAGACAAACCAGCATCACAGCTGTCCTGCCCTAAATGACCCCTTTAAATACACTTGGAACAGTCGTTTTGCTACAAGGTACAGTCAAATTGGTTGATTGTTCAGTGAGGTTATGTATTATCACAATGTATACTCTCTCTATTCTCTGAAGGGCACTATTGGTTTTGAGTCTCAGATTGACAAATGTCTGGAGCTTTCAGAATATCTCTACAACAAGATCAAGGACAGGGAAGGATATGAGATGGTGTTTGATGGAAAGGTAAGTCTCATTAGATGTGTTCAATTATTTTGGATTACTCTTGTATCTGATGATCAATGATTTTTATTCAGTAGAAATCAAGAAACTTTATTCAGTAGAATTCAAGAAAAGAGAAAAGAGAAAATCTCTTCCTGAATAAATAATCTGCAGTGTTGATTGGGCGTTATATTGATGTTCAGAAGACTGTGCGGAGCTAAACATGATACAGATGCATACCATTCAAAACTTTTGAGTCTGTAATCAACAACATTAATTAAAAGCGTGCACTTTCTCTAGGCTTATGAATAGGGTTTGTTGTCTATTTGAATATATTTTAAAATAAAATGTATTGCTTTGATGGTAAAGCTGAATTTTCAGCATCATTACTCCAGTCTTCAGTGTCTAATATGCTGATTTGCTGCTCAAGAAACATATTTTTCATATATTCTCAAGAAACATATATCATATTTTTGTGGAAACCATCATATTTCTTTGAGGATTTATTTATGAATATAAAAATTCATAATTTATTTTATTTGAAATAGAAATATTTTGTACCTTACCATCACTTTTGATCAATGTCCTTGCAGAAAACAAGTATTAATTATTTTTTAAAATCATACTGACCACAACCTTTTGAACGTTAGTGTCTGTGAATGTATGTGCTAATTAATTCATAGATACTGCTTTAATCATATTTATTTTCTTTTAATTTTTTATTGTTAAAGAATCTGAACTGTGTACCCTGGTTCATTTATTATTTAATTATTTAAATGTATTCAGAATTGAATGGTAGGGTTGGAAATTAATACAGTTAATAATTTCTTTATTTAAATTGTCAGGAAATAGTACATCTGCCAAAGATACAAAACACACAGTATTTCTAAACCACATTTGATGTCTTTTTAAAAAAACAGCGATCCTCTCTAAAATAAAAATGCAAGTCCTGTATCCCTAAGTAATTTTGAGAGCTGATTGTGTGCACTAATTTAGCTAACATGAAATGTTTCACCCTTGAAATGACTGAGCAGTCGTTCGAGGCTCATTTAAATGTAAATTGTGCTTGCTGCCAATGTGACAAAATGATTTGGCTGGAGGCTTCTCGGTGAGCGCGCTCTTGTTGAAGTCAGTGCAGTGCAAGGCGAGGAAGGTTGCGGTGTTGCAGTATGATCGAATGACATTTAACAAAACATTTCAGCTCTCGATTTGATGTTTAGCCAGCTCTTTTTTGGTTCTAGCACAGTGGTGTAGGACTCGATCTGTGTTTTGTCTGTGTGTCCCACCATCTGAATGGCTAATGAACCCTTTTCACTGGTGCATGGAGGCATTCTTCTCCGGCATGGCCCCTGGAGCCACATAATGGCCATGAGGGCCTCTAATGGACTGTAGTGTCTGTCTATGAGCTATACCTGCTCAAGCGCTCAAAGCCCTCAAAGCAGAGCCTTTTGATTGAATAGATTACACGGCTGCTTCCAAACTGACAGCGACAAAAAATTCCCATTATGGCCCCAGACGGTCCCTAATCGAATATTCCGTCACGGATCTTTAATGGACTCCCCAGAGTGCTCTATTTATGCAAGCGTGTGTCGTACGTTATATTGAGAGATAGGTCCGTGTGTGTGTTGCGTGTGCGTACGCTGATGCTATCTGGTTGTCTCGTGTCCTTGCAGCCTCAGCATACCAATGTGTGTTTCTGGTACCTTCCACCGGGTGTGCGCAACCTGGAGGACAAAGTGGAGAAGACGAAGCGTCTGCACAAGGTGAGAAAGCTTCGATTCAATCAATGGATGTGAACTGAACTTTTACATTTCAACTGATGCATATTGCTTTTGCTGTGCATTGCGGTAAAAAAAGAATATTAGGCCTAATGCTCGGTTTAGACACCAAGATCATCTAAATGAACCCAAAAACATATTTAACATTGAGATATCAGGTTGATACTGCATGCAGATTATAAACAAAAGCCTATACAATACATAAAATATATATTCAATTTATACAGAATGCTTAGTAACTCGAAATGGTTAATAGCTTAAATAAAGTGTATTCAAATCATTATCAGTATTATTATTTAGTATTATTTATTATTATTTAAAAAGTATTTATTATTATTATTATTATACTTTTTAACTGTATGTAATTCAATATTACATTTAAAGTTTATTGGTAACACTTTACGGTAAGGGTACATGAATTATCATGAATTCATGTATAAATTAATGCTTGAATTATGCATTCATTCATGCATTATTTCTCATGAATCATCAGGAACTAACACAAGTTAAACGTTTTTAATTCATGACTTCATGAATGAACAACACCTTAATTAAAACATTAACTAAGATGAGCACATCATCATGAATTATGATTTATTACACATGATCATGATGTTTTCTTTGTTCTTTGTCTGTCAGTGACCTAGTCACCACTTTATTTAAGGGGCCACACACATGATGAAGTCATTAATAGATCAATGCTTAGTTAATGATGACTATTGGACAGACACCATAATAGACCAATCACAGCTCATAGCACACACATTCTGTAAAACAAATACAGAAGTCATCATTACCTAAGCATTATCTATCAATGACTTCATCATGTGTGTGGCCCCTTAACTAAAGTGGTGACTAGGTCCTTTGAAACACTGGTGAACAATGTGCTATTGAAAGGTGGCATAACTGTGAACAAAGAAAACATTATGATCATGCGTAATAAATCATAATTCATGATGATGTGCTCATCTTAGTTGATGTTTTAATTAAGGTGTTGTTCATTCATGAAGTCATGAATGAAAAACGTTGAACTTGTGTAAGTTCCTGATGATTCATGAGATATTAATGCATGACTGAATGCATAATTCATGCATTAACTTATACATGAATTCATGATAATTCATGTACCCTTACCGTAAAGTGTTACCAGTTTATTACTAATTTGGGACTTTATCATTACAAATGTGTAATTACAACTATATTTAAATACATGACATACAAGTTTCAGTAGAAGTGACATTAAAGTATGTTTTAGTTTACCATAAATGTTTGTCAGTACATCCGGCAGTACATTTTAACCATATTTCAAAGACTTTTATATACAAAGATGTACTTAAGTTTTAAAAGTGGGTCAAAAAAGCAATCTAAAGACCAGCTAATTGCATTAAATATAAATTTTCATTTCATTCCAATTAACATGCAATTAAGTATATTCTTTTAAAGTATGTTGTTCCATAATTAGTCTTCTTCTTAAAAGTATGTTAAAGTGTAGTTCTTTTTCATGAGGGATATTAAAATAATCTAGAGGGAAATTATGGTAATTTCAAATGTCTGTTATAGCACTTGGGCCCCAAACATAATAATAAGTCTCAGCACATGACAGTTAAGGTGATGTCTGTTTGTAATGTCTATGATTCAAAGCAGAAATATATTTAAAATGACATCTCTGCAGTGATGTCACTGTGGGGGGAGGGGCTGCTCATCAGGTGTCCTTTAATTGGCTGGCTGCTCTTCAGTCACTCCCATGCCAGCAAAGCTCTAACCGGCAATTAGGCCGAACAGATGGTGCACGTGCTAGTCATACAAAGAGGTTCTCTATCTAACACTACCCTCAAACCCATCCTCATATACCTGAAACTAGAATGCTCATGCTCTATCTGTTACAAATGATAGAAACTGGTTTCTGCAGACTCTCAGTTAACAAGATACACACATATGTTTGTGTATTAATGCTATGAAAAGACACTGGACAGGTTCCAGTATATCAAGGCTTGTTTCAAAGAGATGGAAGGTTACTGTAGGTGTTGGATACAAGCCAGCTGTTAATAGCTGGAAACCTGCAACAGATTTCAGGGGAAGTGAGTGTAATTATGTGGTGATGACTGACTGTGTGTCTTTTATTCTGATTACAGGATTCTGCAATGAATTTAGCTTGAATTGCTTAACATAGAGACTTCGCTTTGACTCGAAAATAATTGTCTTTCAACTCTCACATTGATACTATATTATATACTATATTAAATGTACATCCAAATAAATGCAAAAAACGCATTTTATGCTTTGAATTATGCTATCAAATTATGGAGCCCCTAATGGAAAAAATAATGAGATGTGAGGAAAATATATATGTCAATGCTTTTCTTTCCCCCCGAAAAACTTTTCTTTCGCTCGCAAGACCTTTCGTTTGCAAAGAACTCAAAAGTTTTGCGAGCTAATGCAAAGTGTCTGGGAGGAAAGCAAATCATTTGCGAGAGAACATAAAAGCACTGACATATAATTTTTCCTCCCATCTTATATTTCCCTTTAGGTGTTCCGTATCAAAGACCTTCTCTAGGATAATTCACCAAAAATGAAAATTGTCATTATTTACACACTCTCATGTTGTTACAATCCTGTATGACTTTCTTTCTTCTGGAATATAATACATATTTTCAAAAATGATTTTTTTTTTGTCCATACAATGACAATCAATGGGGTTCAATGTTTTTTATGGATCCCGTTGACTTTTATTGTACAGACAAACAATTGTTGAATGGCACGAGAGTGAGTAAATAGTGACTGTATTTAAATTTTATTATTATTTTTTGAATTATTATTTCTTTGAATATAACACTTTTAGCAGTTGTATTGTATTTGCTTAAATATTACTTTTTTGGGTCAGTCTTTAGTTTAGGGTCCAATTCTCACTATTAACTAACTACGACTTTTGCCTCCTAATTACTGCTTGTTAGTTTAATTTTGGTATTGGGTGGATTAAGGGATGTAGAATATGGTAAGGCATTAATGTGTGCTTTATAAGTACTAATAAACAGCATATATCCTAGTAATATGCATGCTAATAAGCAACTTAATTGTGAGTATAGATTGTTCCAAAGCAGCTTTACAGTGATAATTGGAAATTAAAGTAACGGAGATTGTTCTGGCTTTACAGCAGCTCTTGAACAAAGTTATTGTTCAGAGTTAGTTTTGATTGATTCACTTCCGTTGCAGAGATCATTAGTTATTAACTTAGGGGCTGCTTACACGACACCGTTCTAACAGAAACCCCTTAATGCGCTCTGGCCTGCTCATCCGCACAACAACAGTGCCTGGTGGCTCGAGAACACAAACCATTAATACTGTTTGGGTTCCAATGTACAAGCCTTAGAAAAATTAAGAAAAACTCTTTCCGCGTAAACTTCAAAAACGCGAATCTGTGAAAACGCTGACGACGTGCACATGCGTATTACGTAGAGCTGTCGGTTTAACACGTTATTAACGGCATTCACGCAAACCCATTTTAACACAACTATTTTTTTTAATCGCGAGATTAACAGCCTTTTTGGCCAAGCAAACTTTGTAGGTTTTTTTTACAGTACATGCTTTTGCAACAGGCGCACGATTACCAGCGCGCCCAATAGAAACTTTTTGCCATCCAAAAAGTTTTGAAATAAGGCATAGTGCCGCACATTCCGCATCCTGTCTCTAAGCACCGGATCTAGCTAGACCAGAAACACACTTGCGAGCTGTCCAAATAGTAGGTTAACTTTACTTTTTTAGTGGATGACGAGCGCGAGACGCCGAAATGGATGCCAATGAGATTCTGAATAGAAAGTGTACTTTTAAAAAGTTGCGCTGTGAACTGAGCTATCATTGATGGCCAAGCACACACACACACAGCTGATGCGAATGGTCCTCCCCCTCGTCAATATCTGGATCTCGTCAGTATTTCTTTCACCCTTTTATTGATACATTGTGTGAGAGATTATTTGCTCCAAGTGAGAATGTTTTAGTGTGAAATTGAACACAGTATATGTCAATGTTGTTTTCAATAAAAAACATTTGCACAAAGCAAGCCGATCCACTTTTTCATGTTGATAAGAGCATTAAAATTAGAAAAAAATAATTTGACAAAAAGACATTTAGAATAGATAAAAATGTGTGATTAATTGCGATTAATCGTGAGTTAACTATGCTATTAATCGTAATTAAATATTTTAATTGTTTGAAAGGACTAGTATTACGTATTCAGTCTATAGGTACTGTGTTTGAATATACTGTATATGTGTGCAGGCGTGGTGTTAAAAAGTACGCTGAACACTTTAGAAACCATATAGCAATGCCATGAAAAACACCAACAGTACCTAGCAAGTTTTGCAAGGGCAAACTGAAAATTTTTTTCGAAAAACGTGAAGCACAAAGTATATCGTCGTATATCGTACAAAGTATACCCCAAAGCTAACAGAATGTTCTCTCACAGGTTGCCCCTGTAATCAAGGCCAGAATGATGGAGTATGGAACGACCATGGTGAGCTATCAGCCGCAAGGAGACAAGGTCAACTTCTTCCGAATGGTCATCTCCAACCCAGCCGCCACCTTTGAAGACATTGACTTCCTCATTGAAGAGATTGAGCGATTGGGGCAGGATCTTTAAAAACTCACCGCACCAAAACCTGTTATTCTTGTGTCCCTGGATGGATCGAATATTTGTTGTGAATGTAACGGTAAATCTTTGATTCCTCTTCTCCAAAGTCACATAAAGATAGTATGATTTAAAAAAATGACAGTATGAAAATATCTAGACTTTAGTATTGTAGCGTTGTTGTGGGCTTCGTGCTCCAAAGCCCTGTAAAAGTGTTACCGTCTGCTTTTACTGTCTATCTTAGTGTCTTTGACATTACTTTGTTTGTTTACATGTAATGAATATGAATATGAAGAGTTATTTGCTTCTATTCAGTGCAGGTCATAAGTTTCTATTTGACAAGTAATTCAAATTGCCAGGTTTCGTTAATATATATGACTATATTACAATAGTAAAGACACATAATTGTCCAAAAACACTTCATCATAACTTAAGCTTTTGCAATCACAATGTGTGACTTATCTTTTATTGATATGTCAAGATTCAGAAGACTTTTGAGCTGTTGAGTATCGAGTTTGACCAAGAAGTTCATAAATAGTTGAAGGTAATAAAAGTATGCGCAAAAATGAGCACAAATTTAAAGTTTGACTGCCTGGAAATTGATATTGACAAGAGGCTCCTGAACAGTAATTTTATATAAACATGCCCCCTTGATATGCTTCTGTGCTGCTAAAAGTTAAAATTAAAATCATAATAATGAAAACAAAAAAGAAAAGTATTTAAAATGTATCTTCTTGGAAAAGTGCAATAAAACAGCATTTGAATGGCAGTTATTCTTGGAAACTCGTTGTAAACGTGGCGCTGACCGGGTAAATGGTCACTTTTAAGAAAAGTCATATAAAAAGAAATCAAATATTATTTAATACACAATAACAGCACATGCACATTATATACTGTATTTAAATTAAAACAAATTTACTCTAAACGTGCAGTAACACGCTTTTCTACATACATACTAGCAATAGATTTCTTAATTTACTGACCCGTTCATGTACTTATTTAGTTTTCTTATACAGAATTATAGATATTCAGGGTATTAACAGAGCTAAATTTAATGTTATAAATAAACTCCAAAAAGAAAACAACACATAAGCATAATAGGGTTCTGTACCTATGATAGTGTAAATAGACTTTTAAGATGTTCTTGATCAATTACATATCTATGTGAATACATCACTGTACTGTATATAAGGCAGAGTCTATTTGTGTGGTAAAAAATATATATATATTATTTTCTCTATTCAACAAATATTTAATCATAAATGGTTGTGTGTGCGCGTGTCAGATGTGTTGAATATGATGACTTATGTAACTGCAAAGATATGTCTATGAAGGAACTGGCTTTAAATCCTCTTGAAGCCACTGCATTTTAACATACTGACTTGAAATGATTATTATAGCACATTTCGGTAGTTATGAGAGCCATTTCTGAACCAATACTGGTTGTATTTGTGCCCAAGTGATAAACTTGACATCCTGTGCCGATTTGTATTTTTGTGTGTTTGTAACTGTATTGCCTTAGTATTAATTGCCAGTATTGTCTAGTTCTCCTGAAAAGGAGCGTGTGCACTTTAGCTTAAATGTATGATGATGATCTGTCCAATGGATGTTCATAGTTTGATGTTTTAAGAAACTGAGCGTTGTCTGAATGTGTCCCAGCTTGGTTGTTCGTTTCAGGATGAGAGTTGCTTTATAGTTAGATTTGCTAATGCTACATTACTACCTGTATCCTTGTAACGTAACAGTCGACCTTGCTGAAAAACCAACGCTATCTCATGACGAATTCTGTGAGCGAGTAAAAGGTGGCTAATTCGTATGAATTCCTATGACCTCACTCGTACGAATTCGTACGGTTTGTCGAAACCCGCGTGATGGTTCAGTTTAGGTGCGGAGTCAGGTGTAGGTTATCCATACAGATTCATACGAATTGGGCATTTCGAAAAATATGTACGATTTAGCAAAATTCGAGTAAGGTCTTGTGAATTCGTATGAATTAGCCACCGCGTAAAATTCGTACGAATTGCCGTGAGATCGGGTTGGAAAACCACAACTGAACCCAGTCTCATCTGGCCTGAGCCGGTTAGCTTTTTCAGCATGGAAGGAATGCTAAGTTCGTAATATTTGAGATATGAGTGTTCTTTCATCAGATCGACAAGCTGTGTCACATAGTTTGTGTATTTTAAGCAGTTGTAATCATGACAAACACATTGACATCCTCGACGTGGTAGTCTTGGAACGCCCACCGTGCCGTCTTTCCCCGCCGCTGCTGCTACAAACCTGCTCTCTTTGCACGTGCATGAACGCCTTGCCTTCCGAGCTTGTGATATACAATCCCAGATATTCATATATAAATATATAGTGTAACCTGTGTTAGTTTTAGTGGCAAATGGATAGCTTAGCTTCAAATATATAGTACACTGTCGCTAGCTTGCTCACTCTGTATTAGCATTACCCAATGTATTTATCTGCTAAGCAAGCATGTTCTGTGGCTAGAAGTCGTATGCTTTTGCAACCGTATCTCTATCTTTCTCTCTGTCTATCGCTTTTCCGCAGCTTTAATACTATGTGTAGTTTCTTGGCATGCCTCTGTATAAGCATATTCAAAGTCTCAATGTTTCTCTATCGCACTCTCTCTTCTTCCTGTGTGTCTTCTTCTCTCTTGCTTTGCCCCGTAGCAGCTCTCAGACCTTTAAAAGCAGTGTTTTCCTGCGGTTTCACGGCTACCCATCATTGTCCATCAGTTTGTTGTACGAGGAACTCATGTGTTGTCACGAACCTGACCAAACAGGTTCAGGGTCATCCATGTGACTGGGTGAAATCATTTATTTTCTTTCTCACCCAACATTGCTTGAAAGAAAAGGGATTATCTGAGGAACTGACGTTCAGATGAAAGTTATAAACTAGTGTGTTGAAATTATATAGAGAGGCAGATAACAGACCCTCTTGAAAAGTGTTTTACTTTCATGGGAAACAACATTAAATGTTACTGCCAAACAAGTCTGTCTGGATTTTTATTAAACCTCATATCTTGACTGTTTGAAAGACAGTGGGCTCTTCTGACTAAGCATCCTCCCAGAATACCCCAGGCCGTGTTTACGGCTGCTATTAAGATGTGCTTCAGTCGCAAGTGGATGACGTTAATACAGGGGTAAACAAGGTCTAAAACGTTTTGAGCTTTCAACCACTTTCAGAGGGAGTCAAAAAAGCTTTCGACCGGATCGCTTTTGTAGTGTAAATGCTCATGTGGTCTAATGCATTCGAACAGCCACAAAAGCCCGCCTACTCTCTGCCTACTGACATAATGCATTAACATTATGAAAGACACACTAGACAGACAGGATTTAATTTTTATTGGACCCAAGAGTGGTTTGAAGACGAAAAACATACAGAGCACGATGTTCTCTCACCATTCCTGATTTCTAACACACACTCACAGCGTTCGGCTGGTCTTACAGCAGTCAGAGCAGAAACTAAAGCTGATTCTCTCTGCGTGTTTTTCCATAATTTCCGAGCATGTTCAAATGTACGTTGCGTGAGCTTATTTTGTCCATTAGATCTGAAAAATCCCCAAAATTTGACCATAGACCCTCCCCTTGAAGAAATGCAGGACAGAAGTGGACAAAAGAGACATTTTTAGGGCATTGACGTGGGCAGAAGTTGTATTTTGGGTGGGCCAGTGAAAATGTGAGTGGGCCTATAGTTTTTCTTAGAAAAAAAATGACTTCAATAATAATTAAACTTAGAGTAGAAAAATAATAGACAGACTGCAAAAACAGTTACACCTTTATATTCGGCAAATCATCATGTTCAAACAACAGAGCTCTATAAAGGCTGGACAAACCAGTAGACAATAACCTGTCTATTATAACCTATAACATGTCTGACAGTCAGAGATGTATAAAGTACTAGAAACCCGGACTTGAGTAAAAGTACAAGTGCTCTGTCAAAAAAATGACTTGAGTAGAAGTTGAAGTGCTCTTTAAGCACCATACTTAAGTAGAAGTACTAAAGTATTCAAAATTTTACTTAAGTATTGAAAGCAGTTTATTTTAAAATTCACTACTTAAGTACTAAAAGTAAAAGTACAAGTATTGTGTCATGTAATTATTAAAGAAAGCAGTCAAAAGTTTGAACTAGCAATCAAATAAGGTGCTTTGGCGGGATACAAATTTGCTTTGGTGGCCGCCAAAAAACAGGACAACCCCTGCATTAAGGCCCCATTATGCTTCTGCGTCAACTCCACGGCGTAGCTATGTCGTCACTATTACGGCGTCGTGGCCCTATTTTATGCTTCTGCGTCAAGTTGCGTTGCATCGCGGTGCATTTCACCGCCTGAACGCTAGGGGGGGGGTGTGGTTCGCGAATCTCTTTGCTAGTTTGTTTTGGTTCCGTGCGCCGCGAGCGAAAGAGAGAGAATGTTGTTGCAGCTGGAGCTAATCGACGCTGAACAACAAAAGACGACATAAACTGTGTCCTCATAGAACCAACACGGATGTCCAGGACCCGTTCCACCCGAGCTGCCATACGCTGTTCAGAATGACTTGAAGGATTTTTTCAGTCTCCACAACTGTGCTATGGCAGGATAATGTATAGTGTCCCGTGGCAGACGTTAGTACTGTATTCTCAATGATGTAACTGTGAATATTGTATTGAAAATAAACAACAAACTGTGTTTCAAAACAATCTGTTGATTTATTGATTGATTGAAGTTTATTGCGAGCAAAAAGAAAGAAAATAATATAGACATAATTAACAATGAAATAAAAAACAGCAGTTTAGTTTTAGTTTAATTCTTTATTTACTTTCTTTATAAGAGTAACGTTATTATAATTATCAGTACGAGGGTGCAAATGTTAAAAATAGCGCTATAGCGAGAGGGGGATATCGGAAAAGCTATCCACAAGTTTCCGAGGGGCGCTCCTGTAAAAAATAAAGTGGGTGAAACTTCCGGTAAGGCGGCGGAAGTAGCATTCCAATGGTGTTTTGTGTGTTAGTTAGCGAAGAGGCTAGCTGTTTTTCTGAGAATTATTTTACTATTTAAAGACGCAAATCTTTATGAGAGATGTCGTTACGGAGCTCAGGGTGCTGTTCACGGTTGTATGTATAACCGGACTAAACTAATTCAGTGGCTTAAACGTGATTGTTTTGAACATAAGCTGAAAACGAAATCAGAGTGATCCTGCCAGAGCCCGTCTCTGATCCTGCCAACGACTGTAGTTTCCATCACCTCCCAAAAGACGACAAATCTTCCTGTATACATTTGTTTAAATTCTTAATGTTCTATAAACTTTATCAGCATGTGATTGGCCGTTCGCTACTGATGTTACACCTAAACTCAGGATCAAGTGTTGACAGAATACCAAATGTGCCAGTTAATGTATTTAAGAAGCACATTCATTTATAATTTTGAATAAACTCCGACCAAAGCACAATGACTAAGTGTGTATTTTTTATTTTCATTGTTTGTCAGCTCGCACAACTGTCTGTCACCATGCCTTGATGAGTATTGATTGATTATTAAAAATGTTATTATAATACTCCCAATCAACTACTGCGGAGGGTAAAGGCACTGTTATTTCACCCTTTTTAATTTCGTTGAGGTTGTGTTCCCACATCGTTAGCTAGTTTGGATCGCTATAACTTGAATGACTGTCAACTGTCGAATGAACGAGTGTCAAGCATGTCAAATCGCGCTTTGTTTACTTCCAACCGGGAGTCGCGCCCACTTTTGACGCAAGACCTCATGGGGCGTAGGAAACTTGTGGATACTCCTGAAATTATGTATAATCTGACCAATCAAAGCCCTTGCTGTCTGCGTCGCCTCGATGCGTAGTTACACATTTTTGGAGGTGCACGTCGAGCTATGGCGGAGAGGTCGGAGAGGGGTTCGTGTCGACGGATAGGGGTCTGCGGGGGTACGCCGTCGATTTGACGCAGAAGCATAAAACAGGCTTTAGTCGTCAATGTGTGTGTCAATCAATACCATTACCCTATAAAACTGGCGTGTGATTTAGGCAGCATGAAAGCCAACTTGCAACGAATGATTCGTAAAATTTTTATAATTGTAACGAGTAACTAGCAGAACATTAAAAAAATATTGAAGTAAAAGTATTAAATTCATCGAAAATATCTACTGAATTAAAAGTAGAAAAAAAGTAAAAGTAAAAGTAGAGTTCAGATACAGCATTTTAGTACTTAAGTACAGTACTTAAGTAGTTCTACTTTGTTACTATACATCTCTGCTGACAGTTCACCCGAAAGTAAAGTAAGGTAAAATAATAATATCGCAGTTAGATCGCCGGGTAAACCCGCGTCAGGCTGACCGGCTGAGAGAGAGTAAGAAGCGGCCGGTGCCAGCACTAGCCTTCTTGTGGGTTAATGAGTCTGAAGAACTGGCCTGTGTGGACTCGGTAGATGAAGGCAGTAAAGCGTATCATCTTCCTTAACTCTTGCTTTTTTTCAAATAGCACATTAAAGAAAGTTGTTTAGCCATTATTATGGCGCCAACACCGCTGAGAGTTTTCCTGTCGGAACCCCCAGCAACCATAGCAACCAACCCAGATAGAAAAATTTGTCTGGCCCACCTCTGGGCTTCATTCTTGCTTAAACTGGCTGGGTCCCCGGCCAAAAACAGGCCCAACACACTGACAACGGACTCAAACAACTTCCTCTGGCCCAGATATAGCCTAAACCCTGTAAAATGACTCTTATTTATTGACATGGCCCAGGTCTGGCCCAGGCTCTGTAAAATGTTCCGGAGGGAGGCTTTCTACAACTTGCTTCAACAGTTCCATTTTATTTGGGAAACAAATTAAACACACACAGCAGTCAACAATAAATCAGGTATATATTAATATATTTTCTTAAATACATTTGAATAATAAAAATAAACTAAATATGTATTTTTATCAAACTTGACTGGACGGGCCAGTAACGCCCTGCCCCAATACTGGCTACGCCCCTGTTTCAGGGTCTTAGAAACCATCTAGCAATGCCATCACAACTATTCAGAACACCCTAGCAACAAAATAGCATCCACCTTTTTTTTAAAAGCGAAAAATATTGTACAAATATATAAAATGCAAACTCATTATTTTCAGTCAGTTTTAACACTATATGAAAATCCATTATTACACATTTAAAATGGTACTAAATGAAATTAGCTGAAACTTGGAGTGTTTTGACCCATGTAAGTAGGACTCTTTTTAAGTATATTTTATAATTCTATTGTCTATTAAATATGGTTAGTATGCATAAATGTACTAACAAGCATTATAGTAAACTAAAGTATATTTTCATGTAATTCAAATTTAAACTTTTCACCATTAGTCCATTACTTTTCTGTATATTCTTTTTACAGTAGATCCAACTAAAAGTCATAAAGCACTGTCAAGTGTGAACATGCTGCTAAATTTATCCCAAAAAGTTACATAAAGCCATATAAAGTGAAGTGGTTTCTGAAGAGGTTCTTCAGTAAATATTGCAGAGCATAAAGAGAGCTGGTGTTATGCCGCCATGCATCTCATGACCACGAAATACTCACACAGCACCTGAATCTCTATCTCTATCTCTGTCCATCCATCCATCCATCCATCCATCCATCCATCTTTCCATCCATCCATCTGTATTCTACATAATTTGACTGATAATGACTTGTAGTGGTAGATTATTAATAAACTGGAAAGAGATTGCCATGATTATTCGAGTCATTGGGGATGTAATTTCACATCTCATCTCATCAGGGTGTGTAAGATGTGTTGTGATGTAGTAGGGCTCCCAGAGGACAGGAATAACCAATTGTTTTGAGAGTTGAATAACTGACTGATATCAACCTACAGGGGGCACTGTGACCTTACTGGTGTCTCTGTGAACTCCAGTACAACATGCGCTTTGTCATTTTTTAAAGAGCATATCACTGGTAAAATATAATAATAATAACAATTGACTGATTTTTGCGCTAGTAATACCATAATATTTTATAATATTTTGAATGTCGA